TGTCATCCTTCTTCTTGGTATTCAATGGATGTTTTTAATTTTCAAGTTAATTTTTTTCAGTTTCAACAAGTTTTCTTATATATTTAATTTTTTCTTTTAATCTCTCTCATTTAAAAGAACATTTTTATTAGATGGATGTTGGCGTTATTGGATTGATCTTCTAGTTAGCTATATTTTCCCTGTTATTTTAAATCTGTTTTTTCTACATTGTTTTTTTTTTTCACTTTAATTTTTAACCCTTCAATTGTACTTTTAATTATACTAACAGTTATTTCCATGAACTTTTTCTTATTCTTTGAATGCTCTTTTAAAAATTATTCTGTTCTATTTCAGTGAATAATATATCACTTCATATCTTTCTGAGGATACTAAATATAGCTTGGGGAATTTTTTTCCCCTTTTACATATTCTCTGAATTATTTCTGGATTTCCTTTGAGTTTCTCGTTTCTGTTTATTTGTTTTGGTCTGTGCCTTACCTGTTGAGATTTTTGGTGGGTCTGTGTCATGCCTCTTGGAGAAAAACTGTTGGCTTTCAGTTTATGTTATGAGTAATGTACTCAAAAGTTGATTGGAAGCTTTGTGCCTGGGTGGCTTATTAATTGGTGGGCTTCAGCTTAGGGACTCTTGGTGAAGACCTAGTCATCTTATTTTAGTACTCTCAAATGTTGCTATCTCTTTATTTATTATTATTTTTTTGTTATTGGGTAGTTCTCCCAAAATGAACTTACCCAGTTTATTTTTTAGGATATATAAACCTAGCTGTCACTATTCTGAGACGATCAAGAAGGGACTGAGGAGCCTTCGGTTCTCTATGCAGACTTTCTTACGATTTTTATTTCCCATTCATTATGACTCTTGAATATGATATCCACTCTGCCTGGTATCCAAGCCCCAGTCAAATACTCTGATTCAACCACTTCAGAGAATAAATCTCTGGTGGGACTAGGAAGGGGTAGGTGGCTGGCCAAGGGAGACTAGGGGCAAAAACCTCCTCTTTAAATGTACTCCAACTAACCATATCATTTATATCCCCACTTTGAACTTCAGCTACAAATTCTTGAGTATTTTTGGGATTTTGAAGTATGAATTGACTTATTTCTTGCTAGCTTATGCTTTGGATCATGTAGGTATCAGGGTTTTTCATTTCACTTGTCCTGGGCAATGTGACCTCTCATCCGTTTGTCTCCTGTCTTCACATTTTTATTTCTATCTTGTCTCTGTCTTGTCTTCACTCATTTTCATTGCCTTTATGGATTTTAATTTTACTATTGTTTTGGTATGAATTGGTAAAGGGGAGAGATGAATTCATGTGTTCAAGCCATCAAGTTTTACTGGAAATTTCCTCTGTTTCTCTATTGTATTTTTAACTTTCTTTAGATCCTCTTGGGCTTACCCTTTTCTGGTTCACTCTGGGATGACTTATTTTAAATATATACTAGGAAATTTATATTACTTTGTGTAGGAACTGCTTTGCTTTCTTTTCATTTTAGGAATTTTTGCTTCCCTTCCATGTGCCCTGGAAAAATGTCTTTGCTCTTACCTTATCAAGCTGGAAATGGTTTTATCTTTTAGCAGGATGCTATAATATTCTTTTTTTTTGTTTTTGAGTCCTTTATGTCTGCTGCCTTTTTGTTCTCTCCCCTGTTATGATAAGAAGGAGTACTTTATTACAGGTTTTTTTTTTTTTTTTTTTTTTTTTTTGGTGGAAAGATTAATTTCCACTGGATTCTGAATTGGGCAGAAAATGGAGACAGTGACACTTCTTACGTAACACCATTTTACATACTCTGCAGCAGTGTAAAGGTTTGATCAGTTCATAGCCATGGGAAAGCAAGGGAGCATTATAGACACAGGTGTTATTTTCAACGATGCTTAGAGGATGTAACTATGGCTGATAAGCATCAAAGGAAGACTCTTTTTCTTTAAGGGTCACCAGGATTAACATCATACCTTTATTTTATCATTATGTCTTTTAAAATATTAGTTATCTTTTATAGGATCCAAGAATAGAGCTGAAAAGGAAGGGGAAGGTGATAGAAGTGTGGCATTACAGCTGCTGTTTTAATGAGGAAAGCATTGTTTCTTGTAAATACTGTGGTAGAAACTATTTTAAAATACCATGCCTTCCCAACTGTATACGGCTATATGCTCTTCACAGACAGGCTATTGCATGTTAGGAGCCTTGACTGAAATCAAGGAACCAAGAATGCCTTGACCTCAGTGGCTATCATGATAATGTAAACTTGCTGATTGTTTTTTCTTCTTTCAGATAGTGGACTTTAAAAGTTAGACAAAATATAAAGAATGTGATTTCTTTTTAATAATAGTATATTTTAAGAGGATGTTAGACAAGTTTGTATATTTATTTCGGGCATATATTGAGTACCCACTTTTCATAGGACTAGTCTCTATGTAGTGTTTAATACTGTCACTGATATGACAAAACTTCCCTCCTCTATTCCTGCCACCTCCCCTAACCGAGCTGTGCTCCTTAGTAGTTACTGTTCTTGGGAGTACTATGGGAGATTTTCTGTCTTGCCAGACCAGTTTAGAAGGGATTTCATTGAGTTGTGCTGTCATAAGCTGAGCTTAAAGACAGCATATTTTCAGAAACTCATATTTAGTTTAAGGTCCTCTCTATATTCCACAAATTGCTCCAAATTTACCTCTTTCATCACCACAAAAATCTATATCCCATGATAGGCAGGCCTAATCTGGAGATGTGGGAGGAGGGTACAAACCTGCAAATGAGAGTTTCACTTCAGTTTTTAGATACTTGTTCTTGGGGTGTGGTGGGTGTCTCATCTTGGTATTATATTCTCTTCTGGGAGTGGAAAATTCCCAGGTAGAACCAAGCCCCCTTGTCAGGTTGTTACTGTGTATGGTGTTTGGATCCATACCTCTGTCCAGTACCTTGATCTATTTTATAACTGAGTTGCCTGTCAGTGATGCATTACCTTAGTGTGGCTGTAATAGGGCTATCAGTACTGGATGATAAAGCTTGTTCTGGAGGGCAGAGGCAAAAGAAAAATCCTTGTTTAATGGGGTCACGTGG